CTTTCCCTAGCTACCCCTCCTTCCTTGACGCAGCCCTGTGCAGTAGGCCGAGCCCTGAACTTGAGACAATTGTCCCTGAAGTCTGTCTTTGCTCAGCCAGACCTTTGACACAGTCTGGCCTTGAGCGGAAGCTGGTCTGTCTTCTCTGGGCCCCAGCTCCGGGCCCATCCGGATGGCCTCCCACCCAGCCTGGCCACTGACTTGGAGTGGAGCCTTCACCAGTCAGTGCCCAGTTCAGGGGCTCATGTCCTGTGGAACCCATCAGATCCCGGCCCCCCAACCCCTCCTGTCTCCCTTCCCCCAGACATTTCTCTTTACACACATCTGTACTCGCAGGTCTCTTAAGTCTCCAACCCCGAGCACACCAGCTGGCCCAGAGCGGGTGTCAGAAGGCGTCTGGGCAGGAGGATTTGATTAGAGGAGGGCTGCAGTTTCTTAGAGGCCCTCTGGTTAGCGGTCCTTTCCCGGCTAGGCACCCTTCGATGCCCTCAAGGTAGGCATGGCCTTGACTGCCTCCTGGTTTCTCTGCCGGTCATGCAGCAAGACTTTCTTCCTTCATTTCTGGTTTAAAGAGTAGGCAACTGTTGCTTCCCAGGGCCCCCCGGGAGCGTGGTGGTCTTGAGATCAGGAACACCCTGAGCAACCATCAGGAATGGGGGGGTGTGACCAGCAGTTAGCTTAATGGCTATGTTGCTGAACTCCCATGTAGACAACCGTGGTTCAAGTCCTGAACCCAGTGGCTTAAACTCATGCCAGACACGTGTGCATGTGTGCCCAAGATCCCGAGAGGAGAATGGAGGAAAAAGGATTGCGGTGTGGCCATCCCCCCTGGGAGGGGATTTCTTGCTTTCTATCTTTGTCTCTCTCTATCTTTCTGGCGAGCGCACGCGCCCTATAGCAAAAACCTCTCAAAAAAAAAAAAAGGAATTGGGGTAAGCCTGCCTGCTGGTCCCTCCTCTTCCCCTCCCCTCCAGACTGGGTTTCGTCCCTGCCTCCAACTTCTCTTCTGTCCTTTGGCCATCGGGAGAGCCTTTCTGGCAACTCCTTGTTAATTTGAGGACTCGCTGGATTCCTGGGTTCCAGGTGGTCTTCATGAACACCCGTCCCTGGGGCAGTAGGGGTGGGACAGAGGCCGGGCACCCCCTGCCTAGTGTGCTGTGAGAAGATTCACATAGGTCAGCTTACTGGGATAACAGATGCAGACAGAGGGCCGGTGCAGGGACTGGCCTGCCTGTCCTGCATGTGAGCGTCTTCCCGCTGGGAGGACTGGCCCACCGAGCCCCTGACCCTGCGTGGAGGCCAGCTCCTCGCCCTCTGCATGCTAGAAGGGCCCGGCCCTCAGAGCACCTGCCGGCCGGGCTATTAGGCGAGGTCCGGCTCTGTAGCTT